ACTGTTGGTTGGTAGTTTATTGCACCACGGCGGAATCACGCGGCGCAATTCGAACCTACGTACCGCTAGGCGAGTTATGACATCGATATTGTATATCTACAAGCGGTCCGACCCGGAATCGCACGGATCTTTAAAAAATATATATAACTAGCTGGCCCGCGTAACTTCGTCTGCATCACACTTACATGATGTATATACTATATCCCAATTTACATAATAACTCTTTAAATTATAGCCTATAAGATATTCTGATCTATAAACAATCAATAATTTAATAAGAATGTTAACAGCGTGTAATGTGCATAATTTATGGACTATGCACACATATCATTGCAAGAACAAAGAGAAAAAAAAATGTAATGTGTTGAACTTGTCATTTTCTCTTTTTATTTTATTTTCTCTGTATATTTTATTTAATTTTTATATAGTCAACAATTGTGTTTTTATGAAATCAATCTAAAAAATCTTAATCAGTCTGATATGTCAAACTCACTGATCAGTAATAATTAATAATTAATTCCTAGGTATTAGGTTCGCCTAGTGCGGGGTCCAATATATAATAAGTTTATAATATTTGTACGTTTTATAAAAAAAATGAATAAATAAATAAATAAGCTATATTACTGTAAAGTTTCGTCACAGTCAGTTCAGTAGTTTTCGCAATAAAGAGTAACAAACATACATCCATACTCACAAACTTTCGCGTTTTTAATGTTAGTAAGATTATAAATGTACGAATAACATGGCCTAGTTTGTATCGGCATTACCTATTATTGCATATTTTAACAGGAAAACGTATTTATTATTATGTAACTGTAGTCAACATCACAGAAGACCGAAGAGCTGGCAGCTACCTTGGACAAAGAATTAGTCTAGCCATTCAAAGAGGAACCGCTGCCAGTATCTTCGGAAACTTGCATAAAGGGACTCCTTTTGATAACATATTTTAGTTATTATATTATATTTTTTAAGGTTTTTAATTTTAGGTTCTTACTTCGTTCACTGTAATACATATATTGTATCATGGACTCTTGTACATACTGATGTCCTCTATAGAACTGTTTGCTCTGTCGTCAATAACTCCGCAGTATACACGAAACAGTAGCAAATGTTACAGGCATGTTGTTATGTATATTATGTATGTATTTACTAAAAAATGTATCTAAGTATTATATCAGTTGTCTAGTACTCATAACACTAGCTTGGTACTAGATGGCGTTGTGTGTATTGTCCAGGCATATTTTTATAGTATTGTTCATATATAGGCAACGTCATTTAACACCAGGTAGGCCGTAAGCTTGTTTGCAATTCTGATTACGTAAAAAAATGTGATTTGCCTAAAGCTAAATTAAAATTCCGAGCAGTGGGGTGAACGTTCTACAAATAGGCCTATATACATTTTTATCAACCAAGTTACCTTGACGCCGAGATTCTCCGAGATGAGATAACTTGGCCTTGCTCCGATGCACTTAATTTAGTTGAAGTTCAATGTCATACGAAATTAAGTAGATTTGTAATGCATTATAAAATCTACTCAACCTTAATTTGACTTCGGTTGTCTAGCGGTTTAGCACACCGCTTACTTCCAATGGTCGCGGGTTCGGTTCCTCGCACCAGACAAACATTTGTATTCATATATATGTTAGGAGTATGATTGTATAATATGTATTGTTTTTTATGGAATATATATATATATATATATATATATATATATATATATATATATATATATATCTATGTATATTTGTATCGGTTATCTAGTACCCATACAACAAGCTTTAACTAGCTTAACTTTGGACTATGGCGCTGTGTGAATTAATTTTCGTAATCATTCATAATCACAAAATACACAATTTATATTATATATATTAAATTATAGTTTACTAGTATATTCATAGAATGTATAATTTAATGTTATTTCTTTATTTTGTCTTATATATATATTCTTTATTACACCAATATATAACAGGAATTACAATTACTAGAGTAATACAGCACAAAAGTGTGGCCTTATTGCTTATGCAATCTCTTCCAGACAACTTTTGAGTAGAAAAGAAAATCCAAAAGGTTATTTATTATTGCTATAATTGGATACTCGGCTTGGTTTATCTATTCTATTAAGGATAACCCCCGCATAAGTACATAGGTAGGTATTATATAATTATCATGCACAGACCGTTATGTCTGTCTCGGACCTTGGGCATTCAACAGCGTTGTAATACAATTGTAGGTACGTCTGTCTATATCATACACGACCTTTCACTGTTTATGTTTCCTTGGTGTGGTGTGAACATATATTGCAAGCAAATTGAAATTTGTTTCTTCAAAACTATTTTATTGAATTAGCTGTTATTTTGCGGAAGTCCATTTCGTTACTTAATGGATTGATATTATTTAGTTTAATTCCTCTACAATTAGCATATGTGACACCACAAATATTTAGTGCGGAAACTTGACTACCGTTACGACCTTCTATATTTGTGATCAAATTCCAACAGTTATTGCGTCTATACCCATATTGCGACGCGTGTTTCGCCTCTGAACAAGGCATCATCAGGTATTGGATAGAGTTTGGGCAGTCTAGTATTAACTATTCGGCTACCAATCTGCAACAGACGCAGTTTGATCGCCGATATTAATTCATAATTCTAGTGAATTTATGGATGGTCATAAAATGGACACCAGTCAAGGACTAACACCTTATTGTTTACCTACATTTGGCAAATAAAGTAATATTATTATTATTAAGGATGGTAGGATTAAGTCAAGTCCTTTAGCCCAGTGTTGCTAATTTGACAGAATCGGGAGAATTATTAGTAATTTAGATTGTTGACCCCATTGTTAGCAATGTCCAACTTACGTCTAAATAACTAATATAAATACTTTTTTTTGTAAACACACACATAATATACATAAGAAACCCCACACCAATACAAACAATCAAAATCATAAATACATGTTTATACTCTGTGTAGAATTGAATCCGAAATCATCGGAAGTAAAGCAGTGTGCTAAACCGCTAGTCACAGAGCCGTTAATTACAGCCTTTTTATTTCTTAAATTAATGTAATTTCAACTTATGTCATATAATGTTCTGTGACGGGTCTAGGTAGGGTGGAAAGGGGATTTTTAGTAATGTGGACTGATTATCTTATTGCTAGCAATGTACCATGTAAGTTTGACCTCCACGCGGTTTCTTCTGGATACCATCATCATAAATTCTTGGTGACTTTGGACTTGAAATACCTGACCTCATGGTCATTTTATCATCCACTGGTCATCCACCACTGATGCCCCACCAACGTAAACCGTTAGCGCAGGCGGGTGCATCATTCCATTATCAGTCATAAAAAAAAACGGGTCTAGATAGCGAACTTTGAAAAGGGGCGAGCACAATAGATCTACATAAGTAGTTCGCAGTGCTACGAGTCTTAGCACATGACAATACTCCAAAACCCTCAATAAAAATATATGTCACGAACTTGACACGAGTTCTATCATGATGTGTGATTACAAAATGGCTGACATTGGCGTCAATTTTGGTCAGGTCTTAATGCGTAGTAAAATGGCGGAGTGGTTGTGTTGTTACGTCATAATGTTTTTAATAGGTGCTTATCTGTTTTGTTTACGAGGCAAATAACTTTAAATACAAATAATAATAATGAAATAATCCTTGGCAACTCACGTAGCGCAGTGACGGCCTCAGTGTAGCGGTTTAGCATGCCTACCGCTTTTGGATAATGGATTCGATTCCTAGCACGAAACAAACATTTGTATTCATGTGTATTAATGTTTGTATTGGTTCTGGGTGCTATCCTATATATGATTTATAAGAAAAAAATGTATAGCGTGTGTGATTCTTCAGTATTCGTTCTATAACTATTGAAAGACCTTCCATCTTACTTCACCCAAATTATAACAATATATTCAAATGAAATTTAGCAGTTAATATTTACGTTCCGTTCTACTCGGCTTACTCTATTGTTACAGTAACTATAAAGGATTTTTTTCCAACGATTTGTCATTTTTTTTTTTTCAAATTTTTATATTGTCTTGTAGTGCACATACGAATGAGATAAAGATAGGTCTTTTTTTGGTGAAATAAGAATTTTTCAGTTACAGGTAATTCTAAAATAAAATCGTTTAAAGAAAATATGACGAGTGTAATATACCAGGAATATAACACCCATTTTCTTAGAATTATATATAGGACACCCTTAAGAAAACTTAATATATAATTCTTAAGAACCCCATATTTGTATTCTCTAGAAAAATATACTTTTTTTTAGTGAATATTAAGTTTTTCAATCACGAAACGTTGATAGTAATTGCCTTATCCTATGTATAACGTTTTGTATGGAGAGGAGTCGGGGACATGAGGCCAGTCCTGGATCTTCATTTCTTTCGAGGCAAAAACTAAAAAATGCTGCCCCTTAGGGCTCTCTGCACCCTCCCCCTCCGCAACATTTTTACAATATACATATTAGCGTACAATTTGCTGCTGTTAATTATTGTAGCATTTTCAAATACAATGAACACAAATAATTTACTTGACCTCAAGGTCAGGTTATCAAGGGTACATTAATTTATGATAGATGCATTAATGAGAGATGTATATATTTTTTTTATGGATAATAATAGAGTTGTGCACTCGCCTGCACTAACAGTTTACCCTGGCGGGGCACAAGTGGAGGATGATCAGATGAGCATCAAGTCAGGTTAGTTAGCCCATCGTGACAATTTAACCAAGAATTTGTTATCACGGTAGTTCCTCCTGGAAACCACCGTGATAACATTCCACATTACTAACTATCCCCTTTTACCCCAGAGATGTATTTATCTACCAAGTTCCAATTTGCCGCCCCCAGAACTTGCCGCCTGGGGCATGGGCTCCGTGTTGCGCCCCCCTAAATCCGAGACAGCATGAAGCCTAAGTAATTTTATCAGTAGTTTAATAGCCATAATACAATATAATTAATTTTATATTTATTTTGTTTCAGATGACTCTACCCAAAGCAAACGTCAGCGTCCTAAGGACATGTCGCTGGCTGAGCCCCCGCATACGATGGAGATAGCCCAGATCCTGATCTCTCTGCTGCATGCTTGGGGACTCAACCCTGACCTGGACAGAGTGTGCGAGACCAAACTGGGGCTTTTGAGACCCATGGTAAATAGTTAAAGACCATAATTTTTTAATATCCATGCCTGAGGCGAGTGAAGGGTATTATTAGTAGCTTAACCTAATTGCTAGCAATGTACCATGTCTGATTAATAACCATGCAGTTTCCCCTGGAAAGAATAGTCATAAATTCCCGCAGTGCATACTTTAAATATTGTTGCCTGATGGTTGGCTCCCCAAGGATATTGTTAGTAATGTGGACTGGAATGGCATCATTGCTAGCAATGTACCATGTCTCATTGACCTTCACACGGTTTCAAATCCATCGTGATAAATTCCCGGTGATTTCACTACGATAAGCTTGACCTGATTTCATGCTCATCCTATCGTCCTGCACTGGTGCCCCGCCAGCGTAAACTGTTAGTAAGCGCATTCCATTGTCAACAATTAAAAAAATGTAAATGATGATAAGATGAGAATGAGGTCAAGTTAGCATCGTGATTTTTCATCACGATGGCTAACTGACTTGGCTCCTTGTTTTTTTTTTCCAGAGGGAACCGCGTAGATGTCAACCTAACATGAAACATTGCTAGTAATGTGGTCCAAGTTTCATGTACATTATATATGCATTAACAAAAAAAATATTTAACCTACATCTATCAGTTGTATAGTACCTACTCATAACACATGCTGCACTTAGCTTAAAACTAGATGGAACTGTGTGAATTGTCCTGCATTATAATTATTATTACTAGGTGCCAGTATGCTTCGGCGTAGTGTCCCGTCATGGCCACATGGCTGTACAGCTTCCCACGAGGGTGCTGGAGTGGGCGGATGCCTACGCCGCCGCGCCTGATGACCCACTGCTGGTCAATTCGGACCTCCCCCCAGAACTGTTGCGGCAGGAGAAGCTTACCAGGTATGTGCAGCTCGTAATATTGCTATTTATTTAAATCAAATTGAACCCCATTTGATTTAGTGAAGCTAAATTTTCATTACAAATCAGCGTGGCAATCCAAAAATTATGCAATTGTGGTCCACATTCACTTAATATAACTTTTAACTTGACTTTTAATATATATTCGTTATTATTTTGTACATGTTATTTCTATTTGAGATAGTCAAGAAATTTATATTATTCTATTCTATCAGAAGGTATTCTCGAAAAGTGGTCATTTATTTTAATAAGAATTTATTCTATCGGTGTCGGAGAAGGAAAATGTCTGATATTTATTTTTGTGTTAACTATCAAAACTTTAGTCTAATATTATCTATATACTAGTTGACCCCGCGAAATCTGTTCCTCCTTAAAATTAAATATTTCAAAGGGTTTTTGAAGTTTATTACGCAATAAATTTCTTAACGCACCCTGTTTGACAGGTATCAGCCGTTTGTATGGAAAAATAAAATTGTTGTTGTTACTATTTTACATGAAATTTCTTCATATTTTATAACCGTTTAAACCTTCCCTGGACTTCCACGAATATTTGAAGACTAAAATTAGCCAAATCTGTTCAGCCGTTCCGAGTTTTAACGAGACTAACGAACAGCAATACATTTTTATATAAATAGATATAGATAGTGATAAACAATTATGACGGGCTTCAGTATTCGAAAGGTCTTAAATGAAAAAATATATTTTTAATTTCATTTTATTAAATTTTAATAAAATAATCATTGACCAATATTACAGGCTGTTCACATCCAAATTGCACTGGGAACTGAGTACCACGTTGACAACGAACCATCTCCTCTCCATCGTGGCACTCTCCAACACTCTCAAGTCGATGAGGAACGCGGGCTTCGTGCCAGAACAAGAGGTGGCGAGAAGACTGCACAGGTATGGGAATATCGAGAGACTACAGCATCGACATGATGCCTATGGCTAGTTTTACCATCGCACTTACATAGAGTTTATATATAGTCTAATAAAATAACTATTGGTCTATTATCATTTTTATTATTATTGTATGCGTATTTTATATTTGAGATAGTCATTAAAATTCGATGGTGATGGGAATATATCGTAAATAATTTTGACGTCCTACGTGGTCTAGTTGTTTAGTATACCGCCTTACTTCCGATAGGCGCGAGTTCGATTCCTCACATGATGCAAACATTTGTATTCATTACTGTGACTGTTTTTATCGGTCTGGGTGATTTCTATGTATATTATATATGTATTTACAGAGAAAATGGATCTAGTTATTTATATCAATTATCTGGTACGCATAACATTAGCTCTACTTAGCTTATGACTAGATGGCGCTGTCTGAATAGTTCTGATATCTTATAATAGTTAGATAAATATATTGTAATATTTGCACCAGTTATTACCCACTCAATCCCACCTATGCCACTGTTTTGGGTTGACTGTATGATATCTCTTCTAGGGATAAGTCCACCTTGCTCATATTGTCTCTAAATTATATTATTACTGTTATATATATAATATTATATAATATTCTAATTCCATCATCCCAGACCCTCCACCCGGTCATCATCGTGGGCCGGTGACGAGGAGCGTGAGGAGCAGCTGGCTGCCCAGCAAGTCCACATAAAGCAGGGCTGGGCACTGCTCATAACTCTACACTGTGTGCTATTACCAGAGACAGTGGTCGCTGCGGGTAAGTGGAGAAACTGAATGAAGAATTCTTCTTCCACATCAATTATAAAGTCAGAAAATGTGGTTGGCTTTGAAAAAAACCTTTACTGTGGGTAACCCATTTATAACGTTAACCATTTAACGTTGTTGGTCACACTGGCACATCACTACTCACTCTATCGCCGTTTTAATTTAATTATATATGATTTAAAAAAAAATTATACGTTACTTAAGTCGTTTTTTCCAACGGTCAAGCATATCAAATGTCATGTCCATAATCCTGATATATCGATGACTGCGATCATTTACCATCAAGTGGACCGTCTCTATATTAAAAAATATATATATTATTATTATATTTTTTATATAATTTAAATATATAAAAAAAAACTTGAAATAAACTAATTAAAAATAATTCTAGGCTCCAAGAGCTTCAAACGTCCCCAAGTGGAGATGCTGGCGCGAAGATGGCAACACCATTGCATTGAAGTTAGAGATGCTGCGCAAGCGCTGCTTCTCGCTGAATTGGGCAGGTACGACTCATTAGGGGCTTCATCCCCTTACAGAGGTGAAGGTGGGGTTTTGGGAGAACCTCAGCTTATTTTCGGGGGGAGACTACCCTTGTTTCGCTGGACATTTCGCCATTTATTAGGTGATCTTCTTTCTTATATTATAAATAAAAATATATTACAAAGTATAAATATTAATCTTAATAATATTATAAATACGACAGTTGTTTTTTACTTTTTCAAAAATGCTCGCAAAAACTACTGAACGAATGATGAAACTTTACAATAATATAGACTCTATATATGAATGACCATAGGCTATATTTTATATTGAAATTTAACGCGAGTGAAACCGCGGGCACATCTAGTATAATATAAAGGAAGGTTTGTATACTCATTTTATTTAAATATATATATAAAATAAAAATATAAAAATATATATAAAAAAAACCGCTTCTTCCATTACGTAGTTTTAAAGATTTAAGCATACATAGGGACGGACAACCAGCGACAGCGACATTGTTTTATACTATGTAATGATGGTAAAATTGTCTTCTGTATGGCAGATTGGGTCCTAAAGGCCGTAAGATCCTAGTAGACAACTGGGCCCAGTACCTACCACTGTACACCCACACAGAGAGCATTAACCCGCAAGCAATACCGAAAGAACCAGTCGAAAAGGTAATCTTTATCTTTATTATCTTTACAAAAAAGATCAGTTCGCATAATTTATGGCAAAAGTCAAAGAACCTATTTTGTCAAAAAGAAAATTATTCATATATATTTTATTTATTTGAACCTATAAAATTTTGCACACCTCTTATGAGGTTAATGTACGGGTCTCGATAACATATTTTTAACACCTTATTGTTTACCTACATTTGTCAAATAAAGTATTATTATTATTATATTATACTAGGCCATAAATAAATTTAAAAAAATACAAATTGTGGTCTCGCTCTTTATATTTCGTTCATTGTTAAACATACACATAAGGGGAAAGGAAACAAAATCGAGATATACATAATTATAACACAAGAAATAAAGGCAAACTTGTTATACCAAAAAAAGTCTAGAAAAGTCTATTAATTAAAAAAAAATTAATATCTTTATTCGTGTAGGTCTATTACAGACTCTTATGATATGTCAAATCTACTGTCAGTTCGGAATGATTTAGAACTGACAAGAAACTCGGCTCTTATTCTGTTCAAATGAGCTTGTTCATGTTTACAGAATACAGATTAAATTTTAAATTCAAATTTCGGAGAATAGTGAGACTAGCATATGCAATTGCAATTTTGTGAAAAGCAAATAGTCTAATCAGTGTTCGTAACCCGAACAGACTATACCCCAGAAAAGCAGCACCCGTTCACGTATATGACGGATTAAGCAGGGACTTCTATTAAAGATATTTATGTAAATAGATTGCCAAAAGTTTGTCTCAAGACGAAGGTTTACGACCAATGTGTGTTGCCAGTGATGACTTACGGAACAGAGACGTGGTCGTCCGGGCTGCGATGATGATGATGATGATGATTACCAAAAGAAATAGCCAATTTATCAATTTTAAAATTTAGAAGTTTAAGGATTTTTTTTATATTTATCCAATTTCTCACATTAATGAATACACGTCAAAATTAAATTTATTTTAAATTTTACTATAGACTTATAATTTTGTAACTGAAGAGCAAAATATAAACTGTTTTACATGGCAAATAAATAAATCTGCAAACTAAATCTGACATATTGTTCTAAATTTGGGGTTGAAAGGGGTTCTAAGTTTCGTGACGTCATATTTTATAATCTATTGTAATACATGTAAAGACTAAACTTCAGTACAAAGGTTGTAACTGTTTTGGCAACGTATTTATACTAGATTTACTGGATACTGTAAAATTGCAAGGATAGCCTCGGTGGTCTAGTTCTGATGGTCGCGGATTCGATTCTCGCACTTTGCAAATATTTGTATTCATGAATATGATTGTTTTTGGTGGGTATATATTGTCTGGGTGTTTGCTATTTATATTATGTTTGTATTAAAAAGGTATATAACTATTTCTATCAGTTGTCTAGTACCCATAACACAGCTACTTCTTAGCTTAGGACTAGATGACGCTGTGTATATGTCCAAGGTTATTATTATTATTATATTATATTTATCAGTCTCACAGAGTCTCTCCGATTGAGGCAAGTACTAGGGACAATAAAAAAAATGAAAATCATCAGCCTTAACCTATAGATGGTCTTTTATTAATAAATATCTACAATCCACAGCAAGAGGAAGAATTTGAAGAAGAAGAGGAAGAGATAGTAAGGAAGCCGTCTTCTCTCGCAGAATTGAAACGCAAGCAAACCACAGCAGTGGTGTTGTTGGGAGTCATCGGATCGGAATTCGGTCAAGACATCACCAGTGAAGGTAAGTTTTGTTCCAATATTTCAGTCCCTTAGTAAATATGCCGAGAGAAATGGGTGGTAAAATACCTTTGTCCTATCTTTTGCTATTTGTCAAATATGTTCTAAAATTACCACACTGACCACGATGTCAATGTGGTAATTTCATAACTCGCTACATTTATACTATAATACATGCTTACAAAACAATTTGTGCCTGCTATCTATCAACGTATACTATTTATGACGTAATCTGATAAGAAATAATATTAGAAAGAAAGAAATATATATTTATTTACATAAGAATCATAGCAAATATAACATGCATTTTTTATATTTATTATTTAAAAACAACAAAGACTTGCAGTTAAAATTATGTTACTATGGAATAAAAAGGAGGATAGCCTTATGGGCACACAGGGTCGTGTATTATATAGTAAATTACATATGTAACATAATACTATAAAGACAGTTTTATAACTAATTATTTAACATATACAGTCGCGACCAAATTGGTTACCACTCAGCTTTATTCTTGGCTATAATGCCCAAAGGCTGATTTTCAGTATTTGAAGATTCTAATCATCATCTGCTTCTTCCTTATCACATATATTTGGGGTCGGCGTAATATGTTTTTCTCTAATGCGAGGTTGAAATAAATTGTGACAGATAAACACATGTAAAACTGCTAGTATCTGTTGTAACTAGATGAATAACTGCAAATGAGCTAAACTTTTCTTTTCCGATACTCTGTACCTGTTATTAATATAGAGCTTTGGACGCTATAATATATATATGAAGCTAACAATACTATTTCCTATAAATGTAGAGAGTTACGAAATTACCACACTGACCCGATGCTTTATTATGTAATGCTGTTGTTAATAATTTCCAATTTTAAATGAAAAATAATTATTAGGTTTGAAATTTTGTATGAATCGTTTTATCACAATTTCAAATATATATTTATTTTATAAAAAATGCGCCTGTGCCGACCCCAAATAATGGGATAAAGGCAAGGCAATGATGATGATTTATTTTATAAAAAAAAACTACGTAAAAAAATTATAGTATGTGTATTATAAATATATTATATTATTAGGTATACATATAATTTACTTTATTAAGACCTTACTGCTACCCTCATCGCTACTGCCAGGTACCTAGCCCTTGGTTCATGTACATACTTCATAGGATAGACTTAGTAGGATGTGGGGTAAGGTTCTATACCACTGTTAGGGCTTGGGGTAACGTTATACACTGCAGTTGTGACGTGGGGTAATGGAATATACTACTTTTAGTGCTGGGAGTATGAATCGTTTTATTATAATTTCAAATATATTTATATATATATATATATATATATATATATATATATATATATATATAAATATCCCCTTGGGCACTTTGTGGCTCAGACGTGCCGTATAGGTAGTTTTTTGTTGATCCTTTTTCACTTGTTGATCCGGAGGCCTTTTGTTGATCTAATGCCAGCTGACCATATATAAATGTTGATCCCTTTTGAGCCACAACTGTCACGACGAGTAATAATAATAATTAAGCGATTTATACACGATTTTATACAAATCCACCTTTTTGGCATACGAGCAGTTCTTGATCCAATTCAAACGGGCCAATCAGGGTGCAGCAGTTGCCAAGGGCTTCCTCATTGGCACGTTTGGGCTACTACATTATGGCTACAGTAACTTAATAATGTCTAGCTAGTATTTCAAGAATAATAGTCTATCTAATCTAAATATTTATAGAAATCAGTCTGGAGTAACGTGACTCCAGATCAAACCTCAATACTTGTTATTTTTTGGACGGGAATCTTTTCTTTTGTAACAACGTTACTGAGCGAATAAAGAGAAGACGTAACGGCGGATCCAGGGGGGAGCGTCATGGAGGTCATGGGAGTCATGGGGGCGTCATGACTCTCCCCCCCCCCCCCCCTTAGCCCAGGACTTAGGTAGACCACTAATTGAACTAAAAAATAATGAAACATCAAATTTTTTTAGCACGATCGGAGTGTTGGTGCAGTAGTATTAATTATAATTAAACATTGTTACTTAAAATATAACAGTTAAAGTACTATAACACTAAAAGCAAAATAAGTATTTTCAAAATACCTTTACAAAACAAATTACTTTTTGAGTTTTTATTTTAGGTATATCAATCATTACATAGTATAGTATAGTATAAAACAAAGTCGCTGTCGCATCTAACAAGTACATAAATAAAGAAAGAAGACTTTTTGGCTCTGAATATATTTCAAAAATCAATTACTTGTGTTAATCAATTTATATACTCGTTCTTATTTCATAGTACTTGTTTTGATCCGAATATATACAGATACCGTAACGGTCTATTAATTATGAATTTATTATACCTAACCTAGGTATTTTATTTTGACGAAACTCCGTGTAGTAGTAGTATCCGATAAGGGTATGCGAACCCTAAGTATTATTTCAAAATGACCAGTAACTTTGAATTTTGAATTTTGATTTTAATAAGCCTTTGAATCAACTTACCAAACGGACGCTCAAGGTTCGATTCCCGCCACCTGATTTTTTTTTGTTATTTTTTTTTCTTTATTCTAATTTTAAATTAACTATTTTAATAATTAAATGAATTTAATCGAACAAAACGTTGTTAAGTATTCAATTAATTTTAATTTACATTACCTATTGTACTTTCTAAATTGTAAAGCAGCTAACAATTATAGTAAGATCTTATAAATAACTAACACAACAAGTAAAACATTTTAAATGTATTTTCTTTATTATTACAATTTTTTTGTTATGCATAATATAATAGTTAATATCACTTACAATTAATTTAATACTTAACAACGATTTTATCGATTAAATTCATTTAAATATAACCCATAAATGTATAAATATTATATATAAATAAATACATAATGATCTGATAATCAAATTATAAGTACAGTCTCAAATTGAAAGTAAGAAAAACAGAAAATATAGAGAGAACTATAGGAATATAACAGAAAGATGTGAAAAAAGGAGAAGGACAGTAAAAAAGTTACAAATTTAAATAATGTTGCGGCAATTTCTGTTTAAATGAATTTATTACATTATTATATATATTAGGCATACGACTAGCCTTATGACTGTTACTTTTTTTTAATCTATACATGTAAATAAAATTGGAGTGTCTGTTTGCAATATTGAAATAACCGTTTTTACTACTTGCATATGAATATAAATACGGTACATACACCAAAATAACATATTTTACAAGTTTTGTCTGTCTGTCTGTCTGTTTGTTCCGGCTAATCTCTTCAAGTAGCTGATGTAATAAGGATTAACTTACGCTACTGTTATTTAAAAAAATAAAATAAAATTTCACGCGGACGAAGTCGCTGGGGCCAGCTAGTCTATAGATATACCGAGATTTAATATTTAAGTTGCTATTATGTTGTTGACAAAATTTTACTGTAATGTTACTATTACGTTATCCTACACAATTTGTATTATTTTGGATGAATAAATAAATAAATAAATAATAATCTATACATCTATACATATAAATAAAATTGGAGTGTCTGTTTGTAACATTGAAATAACCGTTTTTTACTACATGCATATGAATATATATAAGGTATATATACCAAAATAACAATTTTTATAATTTTAGTCTGTCTGTCTGTCGGTCTGTTTGTTCCGGCTAATCTCTGAAATGGCTGGACCGATTTTGACGGTACTTTTTTTTGGCAGGTAGCTGATTTATAAGGAGTAACTTAGGTTACTTTTATTTTAGAAAAATAAAGTTAAATTCCACGCGGACGAAATCGCGGGAACAGCTTGTTTTTAATAAAAACGGTTTATTTGATAGAAAAAACATCTTTTTTGTGGTACTTGAGAATGTTGAAGCCTGTTGTTTGTAATATTGAAATAACCGTTTTTTACTACTTGCATATAAATACGGTACATACACCAAAATAACATATTTTACAATTTTTGTCCGTCTGTCTGTTTGTTCCAGCTAATCTCTGAAATGGCTGGACCGAATTTGACGGAACTTTTTTGGCAGGTAGCTGATGTAATAAGGAGTAACTTAGGCTACTTTTATTTTAGCTAGTGTATAATATGTTAGAGATACCTACGTGTTTTTTTATTGATGACTAGCTGTACACGGGATTTCGTCCGTGTGGAATTTCACTTTATTTTTCTAAAATATAAGAAGTTAAATTCCACGCGGACGAAGTCGCGTGTACAGCTAGTTGTCCGTAGTCTAGCGATTTAGCTAGCACACTGCTTTGATTCCTGCTTGGTGGTCGAGGGTTCGATTCCTCGCACGCTGCAAACATTTGTATTTATGAGTATGATTGTTTGTAACGGTCTGGGTGTTTTCTATGTATAGATAATATATATGTATTTACGAAAAAAAAATCTTTGTATTTATATCAGTACCCATAACATAATCTTCAGCTAGCTTAACTTGGGTCTAGATGAAGCTGTGTGAATTGTCCTGAGATTACTATTATTACTATAATAAATCTTTTCAAATCAGCCGAAATTTATTTTTGCCATAATACGTGCTGTTACCATGTGATAATATTACGTACGTACTTATTAAACTATTAACTTATTATTAAATTATTAACTATTTATACTGTTTTAAATGTGATGCGTTCATTATTTATATTTCCTTTGAATTAAAGACAAATGTATATATATATATATATATACATTTATATAAACTTGCACACTTAGTTCATCCAGCCACGATCCGTAGATATTGCTGATTCCACTGTCTCTCTCTTTCTACCACTATCTTTGTATTGTAATATGCGATGTTGCCGTTCCGGCCGAGACCATGCGTTGTTGCCAAATGTATTCGTCGATAGTAGTAGATACTCGATATATATTTTTTCAACAATTTCCTGCAATAGTGAATCCGTATCGGCAAAATTTTTTAAATGCACAAAGATTTTTTGGCTCTGAATATATTTAAAAATCATTTACTTGTGTGTTGATGAATTTATATACTAGTACATGA